TTTATTCCTCTGACTTTTTAGCTTGTAATTTCTTTCACGCTGTTTTTCCGCATAACGCCCCTTTATAACTTCGACAGTTGAAGACGTTCGTTGTTGAGAACCGCTGTCCTTTGTACTCGTTTGCCCGGAACGAAACGGAATGTAACCGACCAGAGAAAATACGTAGGGTATGTTCGTTGCGTGTAACGTCTCTTGGATCCGGAGCAGGTGCCCCTTGCTGTATTCACCGGGACTCAGGGACGTAAGCCATTCTTCCGATGGTAGCAAAAACTCGTTACGAATGTCACAATTTAACGCCCAGCTACCCGAGTACTTTGATACAATGATTTTTCACAATTATGATATTTTATGACAAACTGAACATTTTATTGTGTCTCTATAGAAGTCAGGATTTCAACAAAACGGAACGAAAGATTTCAAATAATCTTCCAAGCTTCTGACAAAACTTTTTAAGACGTCCCTACCTTTTTTATCATTAAATATTCTAACTGAATTCTAACTAAATTTCTAACTGAACAATCTGTACATCAATTATTCTGGAAAATTAAAAAGCGATAGACAATTTGTAAAATTTGTTCAAATTTCGGTAGATTTATGATCAAAATTCATAGAATATTTGTTGAAATTTCTTCTTATTCGGAGAAAGCGCTTAGCATATTTCAGAATATTTCTCCACTAAATTCACTGATATATTCTTAATACAAACCGGCGAATATCGATATTTATCGTCAATGCAATCGCGATGTCGATAAAATTTATAGCGACTTTCAAAAGATTTGTCGACTTATGAGGAATGAATTTGAACTTTTGGTATTGAAAATATTTTCAATGGAGAGAAGATAAAAAAATACCGTATAATTTATCTTTACAGAATAATGGATTATTTTAAAATTTATGTTATTTTAAAATTTTTGAAGTTTTTTTTAGATCTAAGATTCGATATTTGAGACTTTGTTTTACAAATGAATATTATCGATGCTTTTAGGTTTCTTTCTAAAAATCGATTTTTTTTTTAAAGATAACCAAGACAAGATAAAAGAGAAAACATGGAATATATCATTGACGATGTTCATTATTCAATGCTTCGCTCAATACTCGTTCATTTCTTGCATTATTCTGTTTGATTTGTTAACGGCTGCAATTTGATTTATTTCTTTGATGTTTTATTTGATTTTTTCTATATTACTTTTATTTGATGATTTATAATAACATTGAAAATAACGCATAGAAATGCAATGTGCAATGGAAAAATGTGAAATATGTATATATTATTTTGAATATATTGTTTTATAACACGTATATTTACACGTGTATTTCTACTAACATATAATTCGAGAGGAAACGTATTGGCATTCTGAAAAATGTTGAATCTTGAGTAATAAATATTGTCGCATCATCATGAGATGGTTAACGTCGTCTCTTGTGCATGCCAATGAAAGAAACTCGTAATTACACGCGTGCAATGCTTGCAACTAAATGAAACAGCTAATGTATGTGCTCGTAAAAGTATTTAATGGTCGGAATGTTTTTATCTGTCTTCACGATTCTTGGCATTAGCCGGAGTGATTGGAAAGTCGTGCGCGTGACGAAAGTTAATAAACAACTTATCTAGTTGTCACGCAAATTTGAAATTTTTAAAACACACAGAATCTTAGAAAGCGCCGAACGCCTTTTTCAGATATCCGAAATCGCAACGTTCCGCTTTTCCGACTGCTCAAGGATTAATGCGAGGAATGCCAACTGTTGAATAATAATGAGCAAATTACAGAGTCACATCATCAAGTTATTCTTTTGTTAATGAAGAGAGACCTCGTGTAAATGTAAATAATGTATATCTTATTGGAATAATGCAATGATACGACGGAGATCCATTTTGCTTCTTGCGTAAATACCGGTCGAGTCTTTTAATTTCATGCCCCCCCGAGTAAAGAAAAGTGTCAGCTTTCATTCGTCATCGCCCTTTCGTCGTTTCGCCGCCGTTGCCGGAGTATTTTTGCCGTCGGTTCGTTTGCGACTGTGCCACGCGGATTTTCATCCCCGTGTAATTGATTCGCCTCATTTCGTGCGACGCAACTGCCGCGCGATAACCACCCCCCCCCCCTCTCCCCCCCTCAAACCCGTGAAAAAGAAACCCTGGGCTGTTTGTCTCCTCCGGCTACCTCGGAGCTGTTTTCTCATGGATGTCAGGCCTCGTGAAATATTCTCCCTTCCGTGAAGTAATCTACCTACCTGCCTTGATAGTAATTTTCTTATTTCGCGAAATAATGCTGAAACTTAAAGGCGCACGGAAATTTCCTGAAAAATCGCATCGGGTGCGAAGAACTTTACGTTTTCTAATAAAAATTCGTCGTGTGACGTAATGGATTTTTGCGCATTTTTGATATATTTGGGTAGTAGATTTTTGCGAGCAGATGGGACACATTTACGCAAGACAAATTTCATCGTATGTTACCGCAATATCTCTGGTGTGAATACATTTACTTTGATTTCTAGCCTGAGAGCTCTCTCTCTCTCTCTCTCTCTCTCTCTCTTCCTACATGATAATCTTTATATAACGAACTAGTGCAAAATGTTTTCTTTAATTTATACTTGACGCGCGCGAGGTAATTCCGTGATTTCGCGCGCTTTCTGATCTCGCAATCGTGACTGCATCTCATTACCTTTCAGTTACGTGACGTTTTTAATTACATCGTATTTTTTGCTATTATAATACGAGTAACAATGATTTTTGCGATTAACGACGAGCCGAGCCGGAGAATGCAGATCCGAGTTACGTATTAAAGTTGAATTACATGCGATGTATGAGCGTATAGAATAGGAAAGCATAAATATTGTTACGAATACTATGCCCAATGAAAGAAAAGCAAAACCGCAATCTCCACACAAACGAGAAAACCGCGACGCGCAGGAAATTTTCCCACGGATGTAAAACATTCCCTCCCTCGCAACCGGCATACTTTTCCTCATTATCTCTTATCCTCACCTGGCGTTCACGTCACCGAGGTTTTTTACGCTTATTATTTCTTTTTTCAACATACGCACATGTGCAGATGATTTACCATTCAAATTATATTGTAAAAAATTTTTAATGTCATTAATTCTGTCTAATACATATTTTAATTTTCTTTTTATGTAAAATTTAACGAGAAAAAGAGAAATAAAAATATATTTTTTTTAAACATTTTTTTTTATTTTGTTTTATTTTTAATAAAACTGAGAAAATATTGAAATTAAAACGTTTATGGCATGTACGAAGTATCACTTACGTAAATTACTTTCATTCCCGATTAATTAGAGAGTTAAATAACGCTTTGCAATAAATTACATTCTTATGTTTCCTTTCGAAAAATTGCTGCTTTTGAACAATTGCTTTTTGCGTAAAATTGCGTAAAATTTAGTAAAAGGAAGAATGGGGCAAGGATCTTGATTAGAATTGAAATTTTTATTTCGGAAAATAGAATATCGTGTGGGTTTGACCGTATCGAACATGCGTCGACCAAACTGAAAGAGGGATAACTCTGGAAAACAATATGAAAGAGGCGTTACGTGTTACCGTCATAATAGATAGATGTTTTATTGATTCGACGCAAACTACAGTGTATCATAGGTTATGGCATGAACATGAAACCTATATTCGTCTGTAATTGGTAACGGTTTCGATTGCCCAGCTGCAGCTTCGGCTTTGCATTATTTATAGCGAAGCGTCGCACAAAATGCAACATGTATTTATCGACAAAGGGTGATAATGTCAATTTTATCATACTTGCTGCAAAGCAATCGTCCTTTTTTTCATAGAAAAAAAAATATTTTGCTCTTCCGCGGCATATTAAACACTTGGTAAAATCTGATTTTTCATGTAATAGAAAAGAGACCAGGGTGTCTGGAAAATCTGAAATTCCTAGAGAATTTTTTCTGCCTTGAAAAATGCTGAAAAATGCCACTGAAACGAGGCCATTTTGAAAATAAGGGAACTTTTTTGAAATTACTTTTTCTAATATTTTGTTTATGTTATAATTGGGACTTACAATTGTTGACTTTGAGTTGTTAAGGATAATAGTGGATTTATCTCTAAACATTAAATACGTCACATTTTGATTTTACGACTAATTCAATATTCAATGTTGAAGATGATTTTGTGTTAGCTGCAATTTTATTTAATAAATATATTTATGGAATATTATTATATATTCATTTTGATAAAAATTGAATCGGTTATGCATTATACAATTTTTGTTTGTAGTTTTTGAAAATTTTATGCAAAAATTTTTCAAATTATTGAAATTCGAGCGATTTTTAATTTTATGTCATGATTTATAAGCTTTTATGGATAGAAAGATTTTAAGAATTTTACACAATAAATATATGTTTATTTATATAAGCTGTATCCAAAAATACTTTTATTTTATCTGAAATTTTTAATAAACTGACTTTAAAAATCAGGGAATTCTCAGAGAATTTCTTTTTTGAGTTTGAATAGACACCCTGGAGACAGTTATTTAATTGCATTGCAATTTTAATGCACATCTCCATTTAACGTGCGGTGGCGTGCGATATAGCGATAGCTCTGAAATTTACGGATCAAGATCAAGGTTATCGTCCCGAAAGCGTCGAGACGACATTCGTGCTTCGTTCGTCGACCGATCGATCGTTTAGACCATCAACGACTTCTTTCGATTCGACCACCCGTTATGACGCCAACGGGCGCCGCGCCGGGTTGATACCGCGCGACGAGGGTGTTGCGCTAGCCGGGAGGGCAGCTAGAACGGCGGAAGGGCAAGGGAGGAACACCATCGTCGATGGCTCTGGCGGTGGTGGCGGCGGCGACGGTGGCGTCGGCGTCAGCGTCGGCGTCGGCGTTCGGCGGCGAACAACGATAATGGTGGTGGTGGTGGTGGTGATGGTGGTGGTGGTTGCTTCAAAGCCCTACCCTCCCCCCCCCACTTTCCACGGCGTCTCGACGCCGTAGTTCAACTCCAGTGTTAGAGCGTCGTTTCAGTTACCAACAGACCGCGCGATCGCTCGCATCGCCGACGCGAAGCGAGAGGGGGAGAGAGAGAAAGAGAGAGAGCGAGAGAGAACGAGTGAAAGGAAGAGAGTGAGAGAGAGAGAGAGAGAGAGAGACGAAAAAAGTGCGCGAGTGTGGCGTGTGCATACGCGCGCGAAAGGAAGCGAAAGAGAAAGATCAAAATAAGAGGGAAAGGCACATCGAGGGAGAACGAGAGGAGAGAAAGAGAGGAGGAGAGAGAAAGGAAGAGCGAAGACTACGATTCGTCTTGGTCGTCGTTGCCGTCATCGTCGTCGTCGTCATCGTCGTCGTGCCGCTCGGTCTCGCCTGAACAAAGGAAGGTTCTTCTCTCCCTCGGCTCTCCGCGTCGAGGGTCGTTTCCGATCGACGAACCGTCGGGATCCTTCCTCGGGTATCTTCGGCACGGCTCGTGCGCGTCGGGCGCGCACGAAGCGGTCAGTCACGTAGCAGCGGCCGAGACGTGAGGAACAAAGGACGGCGGCAGGATCTGCGCGCGCGAGAGAGGGAGACGAGCGCAGTGCGGGATAACAAAACGAGCGTTGTGCTCAACACGGCGGTCGTGCGCGTTACTCCCGGCGACATTGTTGACACTCGCGATCGCGAGGAGCGAGCGGCGTAAACCCGACGGTCTATCGAGATATCTCTCTTAAATCGTGAGAGAAAGAGGAACTCTTCATTCGGCGCGGCGAGTTTCGCGACAGAGAAGAGAAGAGAGGAGTGGAGTCCCGCGAGAGATTCGCGCGAGCTCGATTCGTTAATCTGTGCATTGTGCGTTGTTTTCTGCTTTTTTTATACTTTTCTATCCTTCGACGATATCCCAGCGCGACGATTCCAGAATAAGAGGGAGCGAGAGGAAGAAGGAAAGAAAGAAAGGAGCAGCAGCGGTAGCATACCTGCCTGTCGGACATCCCTCGTATTCGAAAGGGACGTGATTTGTGAGTAAAGGAAAGAAAAGAAGAGGACTGATATACGAGCGAGTATTGAGAGGACAGCGGTGGAAGGAAGAGGAAGAAAGAGGGAACGAGACCCGGATTTTCTGGCCTGCCTGCTTGCTCGCTTGCTTGCCTGCCTGCCTGCCTGCCCGTTTGCCTGATTGCCTGCTTGCCTGCGCGACGAACCGGCGACCTAACCTAACGACAACGACGGCCGAGAGAAGTGCGCGCGAGAATCGGAGAGAAAGAGAGAAAATCTCGTTGTGTGAGGGTCGGAGGAGAAGTAGAAGTCGAAAGGACGAAAGTGAAAAGGTAAAATCGGCTCTCCGGAGCGTTCTCTGCTACTCCACCTCGTCTTTTGTCTTAACGTCGTGGATTTTCGTGTGACATGTGCCGCGGAGTGTACCGCGATTGAAGGGAGAACTCGAACGGAAAGCATCAACGTTCATTTCGCAGCGCACGGATTATCCTCGTATTTACGGTAAGTTTTCTTAGACGACAAAGAGAAAACATGAGTTTTCGAGAAGTTCTAACCTGCGAACGACCTTCCGGTTTTCGGGGAATTTCTCCTTTCTCAAATCTCCACAAAGACGTCATTCTTTGTTCCTCAAAAATAACTATTAATTTTCAACCAGGCTTTCTTTTTTTTCGAAATAAGATACCTGCACTTCTTTGTAAGCGAAGAAAACATTTGGACGCGCAGGATGGTCGAAAACGTGGGAATTTTCCGGGAACTTGAATCCGCACGAGTTCCGTTCAAATATTCCGTCGCCAGGAGTGGCCGTAATTGAAACGGAACGTTGGGACATAACGCGATTTGCGCGAATCCGAAGCGCGTCCGCGCCAAGTGGAATTGTAGTCGTGCGTCACTGCTCTCATCAGAACGCTCGCATCAATCGGAGCATCGCGCGTCAAGTTGTATTTTCTCTCCCACGCGTTAACAGTTCGGTCCCGTTTGATCGAATATCTCTCCCGCTTTCCCATCCGTTCCCTCTCCTCCGCCCTTCCCGTCCCGGCGACTTTTCAATGACGAAATTCCACGACGCGGCGTCGCTTTTGATCGTTGAAGAATTCCTGGGAACAATGACACGCTCGGATCCTTCCTTCCTCCCCCTCGTCCCTTTCCTTACCCGGTCTCCTCTCACCGTCATTGTACGGCTACGACTGTAATCACGTTTTCCACGCGGGACGATGGGCTCGAACTCGGCCCTGAAAGGAAATTCCACGAAGCTTTTAGAGCAACTTTGTGCCTCCGGCAGCGTGGAGAGGGGAGGTGAGCACGAGTCGTTGGCGATATTTATATGTCCTCCCGTTCCTGTTTATTGTCCGCCCGACGGTAAACAGGAGCGATCGACGCCGTCGGTTCCTCCGGAAATGCGACGTCGTAGTACATGCGATCGTAAACGAGCGGATCCGGAGCCATTTGGAGGGAAATCGTTTCTCTCTCGCGAGCGAGTCTGCTTCGTCCCAAACAAATTCTTACAGCTTTTTGAACTGCTGATTCAGAGCTAAACTAGAATGATAGTTACGTTGATGATAACATTGTTGTACTTAAGATTACTTTATCATTATATCGCTACCTGTTTGGTTTTTGGTCGGAAATTCTGGCTCTTTGAATGAATCTCTGGTAAACAGAAAAAAATCTTCAGCTCTAACTGCTCCGAATTTTAATTACTTTTTTGGAGATAAAAAAAATACACATATATGTACAATTTATTTCTAATTTTCTAATTTTCAAAAGGAATCTTCGGCGGAAAGGCTTACTTTTCGATAATCTCTCTTTACAGAGAGAGAGAGAGAGAGCCATTAACGATTTCAAATATGCTGAATATATCAATTTTTTTTACTGCCGATGTAACTTTTTATACGATAACGCGATAGGAGTAAATAGGAGGTAAATAGGAGTATTTCTGTAGCGGGGAGATTGAATTTATTTCTTCCTAAGTTTTATGAATCTACGGACGGAGACTATCGGTTTTCGTGTTTCTCGGTACATTTATGGCAACGAGGCTCGGACGGCCGCATTTAGCCCTAAATGCGCGTCGAGGGCCACCGAGCCTTTGAGAATCGCCGCGTCGCATCGCGACAAAGTTAACCGCGTTTGTCGGCGGACGCATTCGCGAAGCACCGAGGAGAGCTTAATTAGACACCCGTTCGAGACCGATGTTCCCCCCCTCCCCCTCCCGCGCTTCGCCGTTGACGGTGGCAGTTAATTATTCAAAAGCATGCGTGTCGACGCGATACCTCGAAATTGCCGTTTCCGGCAGCTCGCAACTTCGCCGATGACAGAGGGAACAGCGTTTTGTATTGTTACGAGTGAGCAAAGAAAACCAGCTAGTCTCTAACTTTGTGTAATCTATCACGGTAGAAACAAGAGAAATTATTGTACGCTTGAGACCTGATTGTTAAAATATCGAATGAGGTTGAAGAGAATGAGATGGATATATATTTCGCTTGCGGTCTCTGTGAAAATGGAATAAAACGATTTCTGTGAGATACTTACAGTGAACATATTTTCTTTGAGAAAATAAAGGATGAATCTGAAAGTTTTAGAAACTTTGTTCCTGCATGTTTTCCAAAAACACAAACCAATTTGTGACTGTCAGAAATTTGCGCATTACGAAATTTTCTTGCGTCGTGTATCCAAATGAGGTATTGTGTGTAATAGTGTGTGTAATAGTTTAAAACTTTGTAATAGTTTAAAACTGGTTCGACTATATTGGAACATTCTTGACTTAAATTCGAATTAATAAAAAAAAAATTGAAAACGAATCTAATCTGAATAATTTTAATTAAAAAATTTGAAAATGCATTTAACACAAGGCAAATTATATTTATATTTTATATATTTTATTATAAAACATTTAATTATTGAAATTCTAAAACCGGGAAATTAAAAAAAACATTCCCGGTTAAAATGTAGGACAAAATTGAATTTTGAGAAACTAAATAAATCTAAAGGACAGCTACGTGAAATAAGGACTGTCCTTTAGAAT